AAAGTTTGACTGATGCGTTTTGTGGAATTCTTTTTCCTATCCAGTTGGTGTTAACCGCTTTGAGCGGGCAGCCGCCCCATCTAGCCAATCAGATTGACTGATGCTTATGATATAGTGCAATAGATGTATACGTAATCACATAATGTCCTCCAGACCGAATTTCGGTCACAGCGGCCAGCATTAACGTAGACTAGCCATCGGCGCAGGACAGGATTGTAGTGCCCCAGTGTATGCGCAAGCACATATGCACTCTCTATTCCTTCACTCTCATAATCCGATAGGACGGTAAACCGACACGACCGGAGAGAGATCAGGCAAGGACCAACGGCTTTACGTGCTTTCCTAGGTACGGGATGAGACACCGCCAACTTCCTGACTCCGGGCAGCTACTGAGAATTTCTTGACGGAAAAACTCAATAATTGATTTTTTAGGCCGGCCTGGGAATTGAACCCAGGACCTCATATTCAGCAGTCGCTCTACTACAACCACTAGCCCAACGAAGCAGTCTTATAGGCATTTACTGGTCAGGCTAGCTATATCCAATGTTATGCTTGTGTGGTAAGATCATACCTTCTTCTTTTTCTTAATCGGCCGCAAAAGTCTAGACACGGGAACTCTCCCATATGAGAGAGGTTTGCCGTCGAATGCAGTATCAGATGTCTCTCACCTTCGACACTTCTGTCCGTCGTCAGTCTGGATATTTTACTGTCTGGAGTAACGCGAAGGTATACTGGTACACTCGAGAAAACGCTTTTGTGTACGGTTTGATGTATTCTTAAGAAGTAGCGTAAGAATAGGTACGAACTCCGGAACACCCGTCTTCAGCACAATACAAGGGACTCCATCAGCGATTCTTTCATTAAGCAAGAATCTAATATGAGTTGGAACCGTCACAAGATACTCGTAGAACTGATAAAGAATAATTTGTGTTATTGTACAAATTTTGGTTACTGTTGTTTGAAACTTTAAAATCATATTGAATTCATCCAGGACTCTCTCTTTAATATTTGGTGGTCACTGGTGACACTGGTCATTTGGTCACAGAAACTCTGGTGGTCAATGACAATCATTGTATCGTTTTATTTGTAAAAAGTCTCTACTCTAGTGTCTTAGGTAACTTACCAAATGACGTTTTTTTAATTCCAAACAAAACAGGCGTGGTTTTTCCGATAATCAATGTAAAAAAGCCTGTTTGAAGGGGAATTGTTTATGGCCGATGATATCATTGTCTTGCAGCAGCTGATCGACTATCTCAGTTATCGCGTGACTGACCTACTAACCTCATTTGGTATATAGACATTATGAAGCTGCATCTCGTCGAGTTTTTATATATCTATGTCAAAATAGAAGTATGCTTAAATACCACAAATATTTTTTAATAAAATTTAAGTGCCAAATGAATTTATAGTCCACCTGATAGTAAATGGCTGTGTATAGCTAGTACTGCAGCTCGTGGAAAGAAGGCTGCAGATGTATTTACACCAATGAGGACTCATATGGAATGCCTCGTAGCCATTTATTTTACTGGCTGCATATACCGGAATATATCAGTGCACGCACTGTTGCTTACCGACAATGTTAATTAAGAGGATGACTGCTATGTAGAAAAGAATTCCCACCACCAAGTGATGTCTTATAAGACACATTACGTTTTAAAATAATTCCTTTTATTGCAATAATTTTTCGACGATCCCATGGCTTAATTAATGTTGTATACGTGGTCAAGTTACACTGCAGCTATATGTTTGTAGCAAGAATGGTTCGGCTCAAACGGGGAAGGATCACGCTCTTACAGCTCTTACTTAATACTGATGTGTTTCGTATGGTGAGTGTAAAGATCCGGAGACCCTTTGTTACTTGAAACGAGGCATTCCATCTTAGTCCTCAGGGGTGACAATGCATCTGCATTTTGATTCTTAATTGAGGATAAATGTAGATGTCTATAGGTCACAGCATCCATTTACCGTAAGGTGGACTGTGTGCTCGTTTGTCACCCTTACTCTATAAAAAAACGCATCTCACACCTGTCGCCTAAATGGGACAGACAGACTATGGATTTCCTGTCTCGCCTTCTTCACGTTTATATACGTACTCACACATGCTCGTCGGTTAAAGGTACTCTTAGTTTAACTCATTTTCAATATATCGCCAATTTAGTCGATAAACTTCCATGTAGGGCGTCACTTGCCGACTCTACCAATCACTTCTGCTACATAAATCACTATTTTCTCATTTATTCTTCCCACAAGATCAAACCTTACAAACCACACTTTTACTCCTGTAATTCAGTCTTTCCCTGACATGATAATCATTGACCGCGTTTACAGCGTTACTGTACTCTAATGCTTCATTTGTCACACCCAACTTTCCCTACGGTACGGTACGGTACTAACAACATTGTGAATTTGCCTTTTATGCCTTTTTAACACATTCTTACTTCCCAAAAATAGAGTAACAAGTCTTATTTTCTCTATTTTCTGTATTCACTATTTGTTTTATATCCTTGTCACGTTTACCATCCCTGTTAAACTTACATTCTACGTACACAAAAACATCTCCTTGCTCAACCAACCCTGCTACTCCTATTTCTCATGTAAGTAGTTTTATTTTATTTCGTCCAAGAACATCAACACAGAAGAACATAAGTAAATTGGCAAAGCAAGGCTAAAGGTTGCGAAATTGGTTTCAATTCCCATTGTTTTCAGTAACACGATTGTAACGATACTTGCAAAATAATGACATTAAAAATTAAACCTTAACTTCATACTAGTGATCACGTTTTTCGTTGAAGTTCAGGGAACAACATTCACAATACAAAGAAGTGGAAAATAAAACTGCAATTTCGAAAATTGATTGTGTAATGAATGGTCCAGTTTTTTTTAATTCATTTTAAAATATCTTAGCTTCAATGTTTTGAGAATGAAAATAAGTGAAAAAAGAAAGTACAAATTACTCCTTTTATTTATGTTTCATAATGCGTGTCCGCAGTAAACGTATTTACTTACTAGGTCACGGAATTTGCACTGAAAAGGCTTGTTATTAACGGATTCCTTTACTTTTTTCTTACATCTTTAAACCTTCTTATAATATATAAGAAGGCAAAATATCTTTTCGACCTTTTGAGTCGTCTGAGTTTGAGGTAACTGAACCTCATTGGTCTCGTGTAGTCCACACGAGGGTCAAAAGTAGTTGTTGGAGTTCGATGAGAGTTTTCCGTCTGGTGGTTTTATTTATTTATTAATATTTTATTTAGTGAATTCCATTATTATACCTGTTGTCTTTTTAATGTTAAAAGTACCTATAGTTATATAATTTTTGCAACCTAGAAAAGAGAAGATAATACAAATACCCCAAAAAGAGCAAGGTATTACGTTTAGTTTTATGTCTACAAACATGTTCAGAATACTTTAACACGAAGGAAGTATGAAAGTAAGCGATTGTTATATACTAAATTATTACTATAGATCGAGATCATAATTAGAAATACATTTTTTTATTAAAATGAAATAAACTTACAGACTGTAAGTGGTTGCTGCCATCCTGACTACTATCTCTTCTGACACTGAAATTATGTTTGTTTTACAGAAGAGAGCCATTAGTGCAATCTATGATTTAAAACCTAAAGATTCGCTGAGACAAAAATGTATGGAAACTAATATATTAACTTTCCCCTGTCAATACATTTATAAATATGTATTGTACGTACGCATAAATAAAAGTAGTCTTATACGTGGTAGAGCCATGCTGCAGTTATATTAGTAATGTTGTTGTAGCATGAATGGGTCGGCTCGACCGGGGAAGGACCACGCTCTCACAGATTACCATCTGCATTTTGATTCGTAATCGAGGATAGATGTAAACGTCTATAGGCCACAGCAACCACTTATCATCAGGTGGACTGTGTGCTCGTTTGTCACCCTATCCTAAAAAAAATAGTTATACAAAAGTAAGTGACATTCATTCTGTGAATACTAGGAACAGACAGTAGTTCCAGTTACTCGACTTCACCGAGTCAGTAATTCATTCTTGGGGACAACGTACCTATACGCTTTTATAACGAAATCCCAGAAAATAGACAAAATTTGACCCGCACAAAGTTCAAAAACCTTATGAAACTAAGTTTATATAAAATAGGTCATTATAATATCAAGGAATTTATGGATGATAATAGGTTCCCCGACATAACAGCCCCGGACAGAATAGCCCCGACAAAACAGCCCCGACAAAACAGCTCACCGACAAAACAGCCCCCGTCAAAACAGCCCCCGACAAAACAGACAAACAACAAACAGACAAAACATAAAAGTATAATAATAAATAAATAATTATAAAACTAAGTAAGTAATTTACGAAATATGATCGTTGTAGGTAGTATAATATTATTACTTTGCTAGTTGCATTGATAATCATGCTTTTTATCTTCAGAGTATATTACATAATATACGCGAGCAGCGGACACCCTTGAGAAACCAAGGCAGTTGATTCAAGGATCGACAAGAGGGATAAATTTGGAAGCATCAGTCCATTTGCCATCGTACAATGCATCTCAGAGAACTGTTGAGCGTATTCGGCAAAGGCGTGAAGTGTCGTGCCCAAGCCCAGGCTCTGTTGCCGATATTAATATTCCTGTTGCACTACATGTCACTTCATGAAATCTAAATTTCTTGTTATGGGATTCTGGACAGAATGATCCTCATCGCATCTTCATGTTTGGTACTAAAGAAAATTTGGAAGTTTTAGAGGAGCACCGGCACTGGCACGTAGATGGAACCTTTAAAGTAGCCCCACAATTATTTTTACAAGTATTTACCATTCATGCATTGGTAAATAACCGTTCTATTCCGTTGATTTAGGTGCTTCTACAGGATAAACGAGAAGAAACATATGTTCGAGTGTTTCAAAAATTGATGGAGTTGAAACCCGCTTTAAATCCAATAAGCTGCTTATCCGACTTCGAGAAAGCGATCCAAAATGCAGTTTGCCAGGTAATGTTCAGGTAATGGGTTGTTTATTCCACTTAGGGCAGTGTTTATGGAGGAAAATCCAAGAGCTACATCTTGTTGAAGAATATCGCAATGATGAAAATGTGAGAATGCATTTGAAAATGTTACTAGCGTTATCTTTTGTCCAAGAGGGCGACGTAATCACTGCTTTTGAGGAGCTAACCGAAAGCTGTCCACGAGAAATTGATGCAGTCATCGATTACTGGGAAGATACTTATATGGGACGGCAAAGAAGAAATCGGAGAGCAGATCCAAAATTTCCTATTCATGTATGGAATGTTCATGATAGAGTGCACCAGGGCCTTCCGCGTACAAACAACTCTGTAGAAGGATGGCATCATGCTTTCCAACACACCGTTGACTGTCACCATCCATGTATTTTCAAATTAATAGACCACTTCAGGAAGGAACAAGACCGGGTAGAAAGAGTTGGAACATTTTCGAGCCGGCTTCAGAAATCCCGAAGCTTCCAAAAAGAAGAAAATTCCGTTTCCATCTCAAATTGATATATTATTATATAACTTCATTTATTTTTATTTTATAATAATTATTAATAATTGTAACCTTTGTAATTAATAACCTTTGACGAATATAGTTTGTAGAATTTTGTTTGTAAATATACATTATAATATAATTTTATACCTACATTTATTTTTGTTTTTATTTCGTGTGTAGACGATGCAATAGTTTTGTTGAAACAAAATATACATAAAATGAACCAAAAAAAGTCACGTAAAGTATTAACATTCGTTTTACACCACTTACAATTTTTTCAATAATTTCTTGCTAAAACTCACAATAGAAAAGTTTCCCATATATCGCCAACTGAAGTAGATACACGGTATAAGTATAGTTATAAATTCTATAGATATGTATGGTATTTATTTTGACTTGGGCTGTTTTGTCGGGGGCTGTTTTGACGGTGGCTGTTTTGCCGGTGGGCTATTTTGTCGGGGCTGTTTTGTCGGGGGCTGTTTTGTCGGGGCTGTTTTGACGGGGCACCATGATAACAACCCCTGCGAAGGGTGATCGCTGCCAAGCAATTTCTAATTTGTTTTGTGTTGCTAATTGTAACATACATGATTGTGAGCTGTTATTTAAAAAAAAAGTCCTGCTGGGTTTCTTGCTGGTTCTTCCCAGGACAGAGGTTATTTTCCGAACCAGTGGTAAATAAAAAAAGTGACTTTCAATAAGTATTATTTATAATCTGTATTGAATGAAAAAGTTTCTGTTTCTGTTCTTTTTCTGTCCTTGACTGTGGGTCTCTTTACTCTTTAGACTAGTACACACTAGCGCTATCACCACTACATATATATTTCAGTAGAAATAGGTAAGATTGTTGTACCCACCCAGAATGTGCCCTAGGAGTTGCCCATCATCATTCTCTAAACCATTTCCCATTATCTGGGGTCGGCGCAGTAAATCTTCTTGTTCCATTCCTCTCTATCAGCCGTCATTTCCATACTTACTCCTTTCATTATCATATCACTCTTCACACAATCGATCCATCTTTTATTCGGCCCTCCTCTGCCCGTGTGTCCCTCCACATTCATATTCAACACTCGTTTTGTGACATGACTTTCATCCCTCCGCATCACATGCCCAAACCATGCCAATCTGCTTCCTCTCACCTTTTCTACCACTGGCGCTACTTTTAGGCTTCCTCTTATATACTCATTCCTTATCTTATCCATCCTTGTCACACCACACATCCATCGTAACATTCTCATTTCATTCGCATGCAGTCTATTTTCATCCTTCTTCTTGACGGCCCAGCATTCACTTCCATACATGACGACAGGTCGGATGATCGATTTGTAAATTTTCCCCTTCAGCCTTATTGGCATTCGGGGATCGCACGTTGTGGCTGTGACCTGTCGCCATTTCATCCACCCTGCGTTAATCCTATGCTACACAGCTCTATCTATTCCGCCGTCGCCTTGAATGAGGGAACCGAGGTACTTGAAATCTGAGCAGGTAGGCAGTATAGCGCCATCCAACGACATGGGTACAGGACTGGAAAGACCGCCGAAATCACAGCACAGATATTCGGTTTTGGATCTGCTGATCTTCAAGCCAACACTCTCCAGCCTCTGTTGCCACCCCGTCAGTCTGCTCTGTACCTCGATGCCTTCTTCCCCGACAAGCACGATGTCATCGGCAAAGAGCATGCACCAGGGTGCCTCATCCTGTAGGTCCGACGTCAAAGCGTCCATAATTAGTAGGAAGAGGTAAGGGCTCAATGCCGACCCTTGGTGCAGCCCTACCGCCACATCGATACTGCCCGTAGTTCCCGCGGCAGATCGTACACATGTACGGGATGCTCTGTACATAGCACGGACTAACCTCACATACTTCCCAGGCATACCTTTCATCTTTAACGCCCACCACAAAACCTCACGGGGAATCCGATCGTACGCCTTTTCAAGGTCGACAAAAACCATGTGCAGATTTTTATGCACGCGCTTGTACTTTTCGCACAATTGGCGTAATGCGAAAATGGCATCTGTCGTACCTCAACCGGGCATGAATCCGAACTGGTTTTGTGTTATCTCACACTCTTCTCTCATTCTTTTCTCTATTATTCTTTCCCAGACTTTCATCGTATGTGACATGAGTTTTATTCCCCGGTAACTGCTGCAGTTTTGAACGTCTCCTTTGTTTTTAAAAATGGGGACCAGTATACTACTGCACCATTCCTCAGGTATTTGTTCTTCCTGCAACAATTTACCGAAAAATAAACTCAACCACTTCCATCCATCCGCACTCAGCAACTTCCACACTTCTACTGGTATTCCATCTGGGCCGACCGCCTTCCCATTCTTCATATTCCTAACAGCCATTTTTACTTCTTCCACACTAATTTCTCTCACTAAGCCCATATTCACTGGTGGGTTTTCAAGCATACCATTCCATTCATTCTCCTCATTCATCAATTTCTCAAAATACTCCTTCCATCGCTTCTTTATACTTTCATCGTCAGTCAAAATCCTTCCAGAATCATCTTTTATACATTTTACATGTGAAACATCTCTTCCATTCCTTTCTCTCGCTTTTGCAATTTGAAAAAGTCGTTTTTGACCTTCGGGGCTTTCAAGGGACCGATATAATTTATCTTGCGCCTCTGCCCTACAAATAGCAACTTCCTTCTTTGCTCTCTTCTTACATTCTTTATACGCCCCTCTCTTACTTTCTTTTATGGAATCATTCTGGTCTTCTACGCTCTGCCATTCTTTAAAGGCATTTTTCTTTTCTCTCAAAACTTCTCTAATACTTTCACTCCACCACCACCCATCCTTATCTATCATACGCTTCCCTTTTGTTTCTCCTAACACCTTCCTTGCCACACTTCGGATACAATCAGCCATTTCCTTCCAGCACTCATTCACACTCATTCCTTCCATATCACCCATCTCTATCATCTTGTTTACAACTAGCTCTCTAAATTCACTTGCATACTTCTCCTTATGCAACAAATGCCACTTTATTTTGGGTGGGGGACGATCCTTATGTTTGTTGAGGCGAACAGTTAAGCAGATGTCAGCCAGCAGAATTCGGTGCTGGGATACTAAGTCTTCACCTTGAAGCACTTTGCAGTTTTTTACACTCTTGATTTGGTTCCGTCTTATCAGAAGATAGTCGATCTGTGTCGCGTGGTGGCCGCTTTTATAAGTAACAAGATGCTGATCTCGTTTTTGGAACCACGTGTTTACTACAGCCAGGTCGAAAGCACATGCTGCTTGCAGAAGAACTTCCCCCTCACGGTTCCGCACTCCGTACCCCCATCCACCGTGTACTCTTTCATACCCGTCATTCACTCTCCCTACATGTCCATTAAAATCTCCTCCCATATAAACATCCTCACTCTCAGGTATCCCCATCATCATACAATCAAATTCCTCCCAAAACTTCTCTTTCACACTCTCTTCACAGCCTGTTTGCGGAGCATACACACTTACAACATTCACTACTTTGTTTTCAATCATTAATTTAACAACTATCATTCTGTCATTTACTCTTTTCACATCTGTCACTCGTTCTTTCATTCCACTATCTAACACAACTCCTACTCCATTTCGCTTCCCATCACTTCCACAATAATAAAACTTGTATCCTTCCCCAATCTCTCTTGCTTTATTGCCCTTCCATTTTGTTTCCTGCAAACAGGCAACATTCACTCTTCGTCGTTTCAAAACATCTGCTAACTCTCTAAAGTTTTAGAGTCGGCCGCCTGCCTGACACCAACCCTCTTTGGGTATGCTATTGTTGGTAGAGGAAGCTACCATTTTGGGAAAAGGAAAAAGAAGGTTGGGGGTAGGAGCGCAGGTGTAAGGATACTGTTATCTCGGCAGGAAAGGTATGAGAATAACAGTAGCTCGGGGAGCCGGGGTCGCGTATCCGTATTCCATAACAGGATCACCGGAAAGGTAGACCAGCATGAAAACCCCCTGACTACCCCCTAGTTCAAATACAAACTTTTTAGCCATCGGAAGATCCTCAAAAAGTCTATTGATATTTCAAAATGTATGAATTTTTACTATACAGATCACAAACATGAACAAAACATATAATCAAGTTCAGATAGTACGATATTAAATATGACATGTATTTGAAATTCAGAGCATCTGTAAATTTAAGTCGTGAAAATGCGTGTTTACACCTTACTGCACCGACTCAAAAGCCTGAGCTTGTATATTCCAGAAAACGTACCTTATAGTTTATCGTTCTTGATAAAGATAAAATCTTTAAGGTCACAGAGTTCATTCCGCGGTAGGTTGTATTGACTGCATCAGATTTATTGTAATTTTGGAGCGGCACGGATTTATTGGGTTTGTTGTTACCTAAACACAAACCTCGATGACCTTTGACCGGCAATAAATTTGCGTTTTACGTACCTTATATGGAATAAGGTACATTGACAAGGAGATCTTCAATACAAACGCTGAATATAGGCCGAGGCTTGGATTTTGTTTCTGACAAAGTTTTTGAAAAGTGATAAATAAAATAGTGCCGTGTGGTGACGTAGAAGAATTCATCACTCCATAATATATGGATGTCGTAAGAAGCGATAAGTTGATATGTTATAAATTCTATGACTTCCGACATAACCATCTCCTAAATGCCATATGTAGAATACCCAGACCCGTGACGGGGAACCAGTAATGAAATAACAGATCAATCACCAGTTCGTATTTGGTTTTTGCGTTTTAGAATCAATGCTAATGAGACTATAATTGCAAGAGAGAAAGAAAGTAGACAGTGAAGTGAATGTAAGGAGGAATTTACACTCTCATAATGGCTGATCGGCTAAATAAGGCGAACATATGCACATTACTTTATATCTATAAAACATACGAACCAATTTAATATAATCTGAATTATATTGAATTAGTTCATAGTATTACGTATACAGGAAGCCTGATAAAACTTGTAAAATGGCCGTCACTTGCACCGTTGCGTAACCTCGGCTACGCTTATTTACTGATTGATTGTCACACACCCCTTT